GGCACCGTCCGAGGGCTTCTGGGTAGCGCCCCCGCGCGCGCAGACCCCTCTCCGCCTCGCCCCGCGAGCCCGCCGCCTCTCCGGGTGAGCGAGGGAGCCTTTCCAGGGGCTCGCAGAAGCAACAGGAGATGTCGCCGAGGGGCGGGCCAGCGCCAGCGCCAGCGCCAGCGCGGATTTGCCACCAGCTGTTGCTTTTTGGATTTCCTTAGTGTGGGTGGGAGGGGAGCGAGACCAGCACAATGGCAACGCTGGTGGCTCTCTGAAATGGTCCAGTAAGGGGGCCAGGAAAAGCAGAGAAAATGACCCAGCACCAGACACAGCAACGGGCGTTCATCGGGAGCTTTGGCAATTCAAGGAACGCGCACCAGAAGCATGAATGGCTGTGCCCTGGGTGCCCAGCCGGCTCGGGTAGTAGTTGTCATGTCCAGCTGGAGCCAGGTGGGGTGGGGGCACCGGTGTGCCAGAACCCAGATTTGCTGCCCAGAACCCCCTTTTTCTGGCCTTCCGTGCTGGCACAGCCAGGGCACAGTACTGCCCCCTCCTCAGGCTCCAAATTTAAAAAGTAGGAGTGATTTTGGGGAGTGGGGCCTGTTTCCACCCAGTTGAACGTGTTTAGAGCACAGACCACCTGGGGCCTCATCCAGGGCTCAGGGTACTCAGTAAACTGGCCGTCTCGGTAAGGAGCAGGGTTGTAGGACGGGAGAGAGCCCAAACCACAGAAACCCAGTAAGAGCAGCTGCACTGGGCAGCCAGGAAACCATGCTGCTGCCTGCTGGAGGCTGCACAGCCTTGCAAGAGGGAGGGTGGGGCCTAACAGGCCAGCTAGCCAAGCCTTGGTAGGGGGCAGGCCCCAGGCCCTGGGATATGGGCACTGCTGGTAAGCGCTGCCTCAAAACCCCAGCCCTGGGCCTCAATTTCCCCACTTGTGAAGTAAAGGAGACAGACTAAATAACCCTGAGGTCCCTTCCAAGCTGGAGCCTTAGAGAATTCTTTGAACAAAATGCTTGGGTCTCAAAACCCCAAGATGGGAAATATACATGAATTCAAGAAGTTGCACAGATTTGGAGGCCATAAGAGCTACTGAGGTGTGGGGTCGTTCCCCCTCAGACAACACGGGCCGCTTGACCACAGGACCTTGGACAGAGTGGACACCCCTATGAACCAATCAGGAAGTTCCTTGGGTACCTATGGAAACTGAGGGTCCAGCACCAGAGCCTGGCGCTGACCTCACGGATCCATGTGGACGTTACCCAGGTCGAGTGACCCGTTGCTATCTTTTCCTCTGTGAATCAGGATTTGATCTAAGTGTCCTTCTACCTCTTTGCTGTCGTTGAGATGAGGCCACACCCCTTGCTACGCTCCTGTCCTTGGCAAGTAGGTTAATCCCTCCATGATACCCTTTTAGACACTTCTCTGTTGCTTTCTGAAGTTGCTACTGGCAAGGGCACATCAAAGTCTGGTTTTGCAAGCCTTTGTAAGAAAGGAAAAGCCAGAGATCGGAAGTCCAAAGCCGAGCCACCAGTTAGCACCAGTCACTTTCCTGGCAGAGAATCCCAAGGTGATAAGCCAAAGTGCTCCCAGGTGCCCCGCCTGATGCCTGGGAACAGCTGCGAGGGATACCAGGGAGCTGTACCTGCCTGAGGAAGGACCATGGCTTGCCTTGCCGAGGATGCGCCTTCCCAGCCCATCCAGGCACTGCTGCAGGAATGTGGAGGTGACACAAAACTATGAAGTCACAGCCAAACTTGTTCTTGCTGGGGAGGGGGTCACGATTCCCTTCTATGGAACCAAGAAAGAAATCTACCCCTGTGAAATGTGTGAGCTTGGGTGAAATAAGGTCACCAGCTGCTCCATTCTTTCAACACATGTATGACGTGAGCTGCCACTCTGTGCTAAACCCCAGGCCAAGTTTCAGGATGCAACAGTGAAAGGAAAAACATGGTCCCTGACAGCCAATGGGCAAGATAGATTTATCTGATGGCCCCATAAGCAAGTATGCAATTAAAACAGGGCTCTGAGCCCAGAGGCTGCAGCATTTGAAAAGTGTCAGGAGCTGTTAAGAAGATGAGTGGGGGCCAGGAATTGGAGTGACAGGCAGGGTTGAGAAGTGATTCTGACACAGGAATAGAAGTAACATGTGCAAAGGCCCTGAGGCAGCTGGAGCATGGCAGCGAAGGCGCCATCATGGATCCTGAGCAGAGGAAACAGGCTGCAGGAGGATGCAGATGCCAGACCAGACAGGCCTGGGGGTTCCTGGGGAACCCTGCTTTTCTCCTCAGGACAATGGCAAGCCACTGAGGGCAGCAAGAAAAGGGTTGCAAGCAAGAACTGGGGAGTGATTGATACAGGAGACCCTGCAGGCAGAACTGGGGAGCTGGAAGGAGAGTGGCGCTAATGTGAAACTGAGAATGAGCCTGGATCCCAGCTGGGGAAAGGAAAAAGCCACCTTGTCGAGAAGCTCAAGGCGCAGAGAAAGGGGGCGCTGGGGCAGGCTGCACAGCCATGGTGGAGGTAATGTAAGAAGCGTCAAGAGCCATTTCTAAAGCTTTTCCCAGCCCCTAGAATTGGGGTCATGGAAAGACCGAGGGCCTGGGCGGACGGCAAGACCGGAGGGAATGTAAGGGCCCACGCCATGTCTAAGTGCATGCGAAGTTGACTCCGTTACTCCCAACCATACAGCTAAAAACCTGGCTAGCACTTGCTCCTGGCAAAAAATGACCCTTGAATATGGCGGCGGCCAGATTACAAACCACGGACAAGGAGTAGAGGGCTCACAGGGAAAATTTAAGGCATTAAACCAGGAGTCTTGGGAGAGACCCCACCACCTCCTGCAGATAACTCTCCAAGGGGGACACAGGAAGATCCAGGATGCTGTTTCATCCTGGGGTCCTGATTCATGATCAGAGGAATTCTGCCTACCAACTGCTATGTTGGATGCACCCACACTCACGTCCTGTGGTAGTTAAATGTTTTTTCTCCATCCCTCACCCCCATGAGTCAAATGCTAAGCCCCCAACCTCGGGGCCAGAACTTTTCCCTAACTCCTTGGCCAAAAAGAGTTCTGCTTACTTCCGGAAGCCTCCCTGACCTGGGTGCCCTCCTCCCTCCCTGATCCGGGTACCCGGGTACCCCACCAGCTTCTCCTTGAGGCAGCTGTGTTGACCTCTGCCACTCTGCAGGTGTAGTTCCGGGGCAAGTCAGTCCATGGCACAGTCTTACCACCTACTTGGATCTGAGGACCGTGGTGGTCTCCAGTCTATCAGAGTCCTGGGGACTCAGCACTGCTTCCACAAAGCCATGACTCCCTCATCCCATCTGCCAAAGCTGCCTCCCCTCCACACTTCTTTGCATCCGTAAGTGGCACTGCCTAGCCCAGCTAATCTCCCAGAAAAGCCTGTGCCATCCTCACTCCTCTCCCCCCGTGCTTCTGTTCTGTGTCAGGCCTCTGTGGGGCCAGGCTTCTGGGGTGATTGTGCCTTAATCTCCCCAACCCCAGGCTCTCAGCTCTTGTTTGGCAGACACAGACCCAAACTCAGTGGCTCCCAATTTCCTACAAGTCCAGAAGCTAAGATGGCCCGGGGTCCTTACAAGCTGACACCTTTTCTGCTTTGTGTCCTGACCAACTCTCCGCTTTGCCACTCTCCTCACTCTGGTCACCCCAATCATTGCATCACTCTCCCCCAGCTCAAGAGGGTCACTCACAATTTTCCAAATGCACTGACTGCTTCCCTTTCCCCAAATCCTTGCTGATATAGTTTTCTCTGCTAAAAACACCCTGTTCCTCCCCTTTATAAGATCCCCAGCTACCTGACAAAGCCAAATTCCAGTATTACTTTATTGGAGTTACTGTTTCCCCTCCATGGTTCGGGAGTGTTCAGTTACACTGTAGTTACTATAATTATATGATCCTGTGTGCTTCCCTGGGGCTTTCTCCTTGGGCCAGTGTCTGGTGTGGGGCCCCACTTTAAACTGGTTGGCTTGTAGGGCCCTCCCTGGTGGCACAGGGAGTTAAAGCACCACAATATGAAGCTCCCCAAAGCCACTGCAGCAGGAGTTCGATCCCTGGCCAGGGAGGTGACCACATGGCGCGGCAGACCTCTCCTGGCCTGCCCGCTGCTCCCCTCAGCAGTGTGCTTCCTCGATCTGCCTGTTCTGCTCCCCACTCTGTCTCTGGTGAACCCTCTCACCCACCACACCTCTGGCTGTACCCCAGTTCTATAAGCATAAATAAAAGAATATTTAAAAAAAAAAAAAAAAAAAAACTGATTGGCTTTAAGTGAGTTGTAGCTCACCAGAGCCTGCATGATTTGCCAGGGTCAGCCTTTCCAGAGGCACTTAGAATACCTTCTTCCTTGTCTCTCTCCAATCAGCAACCTTTTAACTTAAACACAGGCTCTGCAAAACCAGCTCCCTGAGCACTGGTACACAGGGCCTGAACCAAGTCTATGAATTGCTTTGTTTTTTCTTTCCAAGATGAAGAGATGAAGTAGCTGGTGCCGTTTGAGGCCACAGGTGGAGGAGAGCTGGGTCATGAGCCTCACAGGGCGGAGGTTAGACTGTTAGGCAGCCCTGACGCTGACCCCAGGGGACTGAGCAGCAGTGGGCTGGTAGGGCGGCAGGCACTCGGGCCCGTGGCTACATCCATTCTTTTCATTTCTATCAGAACTTTTTCTTACTGAGCTACAATGTGATCAGTTTAAAGAATTCAATTTCCGGATTCCTCTGCAAGCAGGGCTGGCCATATGTCCCAGTTCTGACCAGGCAAATGGGGCAGAATTATACTGAATAAGAATCTAAGAAAGTTACAGTGGTAGGTAGCTTTTGCCTTGAACCTT